GAAGGAAGGAAGGAAGGAAGGAAGGAAGGAAGGAAGGAAGGGCAATACTCTGTCTGTATTAGAAAAAGAGTTACCTGTGGAAGCAATATACCCAGCAAAATTCCAGCCATGATAGCATAGTTGTCCGTAAACCAAATGAATACAGCATTTGTACATCCTCTGACATATATGATGTGCTGAACACTCAGGCGCTGTAAAGGAATGAATTACAACCTTGTTAACAATGCAGGGAAAGCAAATGGCTTTCCCCTTTCTTAATTGCCTACAGCTCTAGTACATTTTGTGCAGACCACCCACTATTGGAGTGAATGGGCGTTGGTTCTTACCTGATACGCCCCTTCTCGGCGAGCCGCAAGGAGCATCCAGAGACTGGGATGTGCTTCCGAGTCCTCTTCTTGCAGGCTGAGCTTTAGATGAGGAAACGCTCCGCCCCCTCACGTGACATCGCGGAGCGCCTCCCCAGTTTTTGCGATAACGAGAAGAGAGGTTATTGATTCTTTCTAATCTACTATTGGCTCCTTGGCTGAAGAAAGAGCCCCCACCAGACGGAGAAATTAGGGTGGGGCTGGATGCTCCTTGCGGCTCGCCGAGAAGGGGCGTATCAGGTAAGAACCAACGCCCATTCTCCCTCGAGCCGCTCGGAGCATCCAGAGACTGGGACATACCAAAGCTGGGCTGTCCTACGGGTGGGACTCCGTCTGGCCCGAAGGCCCCTCCGGATCACTGATGACCCTCTGTAAGACCCGTCGGCCAAAAGAGGCCTCCGCTGAGGCGTACGTATCTATTTTATAATGTCTGATAAACGGGGACGGAGAGGACCAGGTGGCTGCCCGACAAATGTCAGCGATGGGGGCTTGTGTGGCCCAGGCCGCCGAGGTGGCTGCACTTCTGGTGGAATGGGCGGTTATCCCACCCGGAGCGGGCAGAGAATGGGAAAGGTAGCACCTCGCAATAGTAGCCCTGATCCAGCGACTGATGGTGGAAGGGGAAACCTTAAGCCCCATTGACCTGGGTTGAAAGGATAGGAAGAGGGATTCCGACCTTCGCATGGATTGAGTGCGCTTAATATAAATACGCAAGGCCCTTCTAACATCTAGGGTGTGCCAGAGGACCTCCCTGCCCCTGGAGGGCCTGGGGCAGAAATTTGGTAAAATCAGTTCCTGTGACCTATGGAAGGGAGAGTTAACTTTGGGTAGAAAGGTAGGGTCAGGACGAAGGACCACCCGGTCTGCGTGGAACACGCATAGATCGCTTCTGACTGACAGAGCTGCTAATTCCGAAACTCGACGAGCAGAAGTAATAGCTACTAGAAAAACTACCTTGAAGGTGAGAAACTGCAGGGATGACTCCCTCAAAGGCTCGAACGGGGGACGTGTAAGAGAAACGAGGACCTTGTTGAGGTCCCATGTGGGGAACCTGTGAACGGTAGGAGGGCACAGGTTGGTGGCGCCCCTAAGGAAAGATCTAACCCTGGGGTGGTGAGAAAGGGAACCGTAGTTATCACAGGAGACCACGGTTGAGAGAGCAGAAACTTGCCGTCTCAGGGTGTTAGGTGCGAGCCCCTTGCGAAGACCCTCCTGAAGAAATTCCAGGATCTGTGCCACCGAGGGAGAGAGGGGATTAACCTGAGACCCGCTACACCACTTGCAGAACCCTTTCCAAGTGGCATCATAAATTCGTGTGGTGGAAGGGCGCCTGGCGGCCAAAATAGTGTCGATGACTTGAGTTGAAAGATTCTCAGAAGTCAGACGGATCCGCTCAACCTCCAGACGGCTAACTGGAGCCATTGAGGCTCCGGATGCAGAAGGGGCCCCTGAGAGAGGGAGACCTTGTCCGGGGGGATCCTCCATGGGGGCGCTACTGATAAGATGCGGAGATCTGCAAACCACGGTCGCCTGGGCCAATAGGGAGCCACCAGGAGAAGTTCTGCCCTCTCCTGAATGAGTTTTTGAACTACTCTGGGAACTAACGGGAGCGGAGGGAAGGCATATAGGAGCCCTGGGGGCCATGGGCAACGCAGAGCGTTGTGATTCTCCGACCTGTGAGACGGATACCGGGAGAAGAACCGTGGAAGCTGAGTGTTGGTCGGGGAAGCGAAGAGGTCCACCACCGGAAGGCCGAATATTCTGGACGCTTCCTCGAAAAGGGATGGATGGAGACGCCATTCCGCCTGGTCCACCGTGGCCCTGCTCAGCCAGTCCGCCTGAGTATTGTCTACTCCGGAGATGTGTTCGGCTTTTAAAGATAGGAGGTTGGATTCTGCCCAGCGGCAAAGGCGCTCGGCTTCCCTCATTAGCTGGATGGACTGGGTGCCCCCTTGCTTGTTGATATGGGCCTTGGCCGTGACGTTGTCCGTGAGCACGAGAACGTGATGATTGCGGATCTGAGGAAAGCTGCGCAGGGCCAGAAGGACGGCGTGAAGCTCTAGCCAATTGATGCTGCACCCCTGCTCGGTCAGCGACCATTTGCCCTGTGCAGAGATCGAGTCGAGATGAGCGCCCCAACCGGATAGGCTTGCGTCCGTAGTGACGGTGAGTCGTTGAGGTTCTGCGAATAGGTGGCCTCTGTTGATGGCGGGATTGGTCCACCAGAGAAGAGACGTGAGGACCTTTGGAGGGACCCTGACCTTGACCCTCGAGTTGCTTCTTCCGGATCGTTGGAACGGGAGCAGGAACCATTGGAGGGATCTGCTGTGTAGACGAGCCCAGGGAATAATGGAGATGCATGATACCATTTTGCCCAACAATTTAGAGAGGTCCAACAAGGCCACCCTCCTTGAACGCCTGATCTGATTGACCAGGGCTTGAATGCTAAGGAACCTCTCCGGAGAGAGGAAAACTCTCTGTGACACCGAATCAATTATGGCCCCCAAGTGGTTAATTCGAGTAGAAGGGGTAAGTTGGCTCTTTTGCCAATTGACTAGAAAACCGTGTGCCCGTAAGGCGGAGAGGGTGACCCTGGTATCCCTGACTGCCTGGGATTTGGACGGGGAGAGAATAAGAATATCGTCCAAGTAGCAGTGGAGGCGGACGGGAACGGTCCTGAGATGGGCCGCCAGGGCCGCCAGGACCTTGGTGAAGGTCCGGGGGGCCGAAGCCAGACCGAAGGGTAGGGCCACGTATTGATAATGAAGGTTATTATGGCAGAACCTGAGGAATTTGTAATGGGAGGGCCTGATTGGAATGTGGAGGTATGCCTCCGACAGATCTATGGAAGATAACCAGTCTCCCCGCCTGGTGCCTAAGAGAATTGATTGCAAGGTGTGCATCTTGAATCTACGCTGGATGAGGTGACGGTTGAGCCGTTTCAAGTCTAGGATGGCTCTCCAACCCCCAGAGTGTTTGGGCACCACAAAGAGATGGGAGTAAAAACCCTTTCCCTTCTGGGCCGGAGGGACAGGTTGAATGGCCTGGATGTCAAGAAGATGATGGATGGCTGCATCCATTAGAGCCCGTTTGGAGGGATCCCTTGAGGGGGATGGGATAAAACAATCAGGGGGGGCGGACCTGAACTCCAGGGCGAGACCAAACCTGATTGTGTCCCTAACCCATGCATCGGAGGTGGATATGTCCCATTGGGCGGCGAAGTGGCTGAGGCGGCCGCCAATGGGGAGGGAGGAAGAGGATCTACCTTCTACGGTAGGGCCTTCCTCCCGATCCCCGGAATGGTCTCTTGTAGCCGCCACCGCGTCTGGTTCTGTCACCCGGGTCCGAGCGGTCCTGGGACCGGAAGGAAGGAGGTCTAGGGTATCTGGGCGGGAAGGGGGGTTGGTAGAAGCGGCGGGGGAAGCTCCTCCGAAAGGGCTGGGGGCCCCTGGTCTCCGATCTTCGAAAAAGGGAGGGCAAATACTTTCTCTTACTGCGGCCCTCGACCAGCAGTGGTTCCAAAGCTGGGCCAAACAGTTTGTCTCCCGTAATGGGAGCAGTGGCCAGCTTGACCTTATTCTTTACGTCCGCCTGCCAGTGTTTGAGCCATAGCATGCGGCGAGCCGAAACGTGCGACGTGATGGCTCTGGAAGAAAATTTTACCGACTGGTAAGTGGCGTCAGCCGAGAACTCGGCTGCAGCCACTAACTTCGCTATATCCTGGTGAGCTCTCAGATTGGAAGCAGGGATGTGGTCCTTGAGCTGACGTAGCCAGCGGATGGAAGACCTGGTGAAAAATGAGGCGGCCGTAGCCGATTTAATGGCCCAGGCATCAGATAGGTGGGCCCTACGCAGCGCCAGCTCCGCCCGCCTGTCCTCAGGCTTTAAGGCCTCTAGGGCCTCACTAGGGGAAGAGGAAGAAGCTAGACCCACAATGGGGTCATCAACCTCCGGGATATTCAGAAGGTTAGACAGAGCCGCATCGAGATTGAAGAATCTCTTGTCTTGGCTAGATGGAGCAGGAGGTGTCCCTGAGGAGGTAAGTTGCTTTGCAACCAGATCTACGAAGATGGGAGGGGATGGGATGACCTCGGCTTCCACCACTGGTTGGGTGAAAATGGAGTCTTCTGGGCCCTCTTGGACTGGGGGGGGTTCAGCAGGGGACTGGGGAAGAAGGCCAGATACATTCTTGGCCTTAAGGAGGAGGGACTTGAACATATGTGGTTTGAACAGCCCCCCAAAGGTGGGTTGGTCGAGGGAAGGACCCTCGTCCTCCGACATCTCCCCCTCCATGATGTCAGCCTCTAAGAGGGGTTCACTATAGCGGGAGGATCCCATCCGGGAATCCTCTTCCTCCTCCCTGAAATCCCCAAAGTCCCCTTCCTCCTCCATCTGGGCCCCAACCGGTGGAGGGCTATCCCTCTGAGAGAGTACCTGATCAGTTGGGGGGACCGGTTGTGGAAGGGATCTGAGTGATAACGAATCGTGTTCAGAGGCTCGCGGAGAGAAACCTGATCTGGACACGTGTTGTAGTGCCTCTGCTATGCCCTGGCGGATGGCTGATTCCATCCAAGCCTTGATGTGAGGTGGAACCTCGGAGGTAGAGGGTTCATCCTGGCGCAGACCAGCGGCTGTGGGTGTAAAGGTGGCTTCGGGGGTCCGTCTGGTCGGAGGTCCGGGGGTCGGAAGACCCTGAAGCGAACTGCGCCTAGGTAGGGAAGAAGGGTCTGAGGGGAGAGGTAGAGCAGAGGTAGAAGGGGTTGGAGGAGGAGGTATAGGCGTCTCCGAGCGGGACTCCCTTGAACGCCGGTCGAACTCTTTTTCTAACGCTTTGTGGCGCCTCAAGGCGTCACGTTGTGCGGCCTTGGAAGGTTCCTTGTCCTGTCTGGAGCCCTTAGGTTCCTTGTCCTGCCTGCGCAAGTAGTGGGACTTTGCTTTAGCCTTCAAAGAAGGACGTTTAGATGGATTGTCGTCTGCCATGTTAGGTAACAATACTAGCAAAGGCGGTTGGCTCGCCCAGAATAGGCCTGGATGAGGCCGGGTGAAGGTGAAGCTGGCCCTCTCCCCCTTTTGGAATTTGTAGTGTACAGAGATAACAGTGAGGTATCTGAATAATATAGTATGTACAGGAAAAAATAGATACTCTATTTGTAATTCCTTTGATTTCTTTTTGTTTGTTCTTTTTATCTTTTTCTCTTTTTTTTTTTTTTTTTTTGTACGCAATATATATACAGGTTATCCGTAAGTGTCTATATATCTATGAAAAAAAATTATTACTGTACAAAAAAACAGAAATTATTATTATTATTATTTTGCAAATATATTCCTTTTATTCTCGAACAGTAGCAGTAACTGGTATCTCAGTACAGGCCGGATCAGTCAAATAAACGCCTGAGGCCTATGTAGAAGAGAGGGCCTCTGGCAGCAGGCCTCCAGACAAGGGAAAACAAAACCGGAGGGGGGGGGCTGCAACTTCGCCCCGAAACGGACTGCGGGAGGCCAACTAAAATAAAAGAGCGAGCCAGGTAGAAAGAAATGGGCAGCAAAGCTCTGACCCAAGGCCTGGGGCTCTAATTCACCGCAGCTAGAATCAGAAAAAAAGGCGCCCGACCACGAGGCGGAGCCAAAATGGCGACCGCGAGCTGAACCGTCGGGGACGCCTTCGGGACGGAAAAGGAGGGCTTTGCCGGTCAGCTCGGCACGCCTAGGGCCTTAGGGGCAATAACCCTCCCGGTCGGCGTTTGGGGTGGGGGGGAATCCAGCAGTAAATGAAAGAAAAACAACGCGTGCCACGAGGCAACGCGGAGGCAGCGATGCGATCTGATAAGGATGGGGGGGTAGCGCTAAACGCGCTGCGAGCCCGCAGCTTCGTCTCAGGGACGAGGGAAAATTTTCCCTTAAGTCCAGACCCTTTGCGCAGGAGGAGAAAGAAGGCAAACCTTATCAGAAAGTGAAATAGGAAGGAAATCTGCGATCAGCCAAGGAGCTCTCTAACACACAGCCTGACTCTTCGAGGCTGAGCAAAAGACTGGGGAGGCGCTCCGCGATGTCACGTGAGGGGGCGGAGCGTTTCCTCATCTAAAGCTCAGCCTGCAAGAAGAGGACTCGGAAGCACATCCCAGTCTCTGGATGCTCCGAGCGGCTCGAGGGAGAATTGGCAAGAACTGTTAAGAATCCCTGGAGGCTTCGCGCCTCCGTTCAAGGCAAGGAGCTTTGGGGGCCCAACAGGAGGCAGGAAGGCAGCCAGGGCAGGGGTCCGAGGCTGAGGGGCTCTACTCTTCCCGGAAAGGAAAGGAAAGGAAAGCCTCCCAGCTGGGCAAGGAAAACCCATCTCCGGCTCTCCTGCGAGGTTCTTGACGCGGCCCTTCAGCCTGCTGGGACCCAAGATGGACTCTCTCTTTCTCTGGACACAGCCAGCTTTCCTCTCGTTGCTCTCCCCCATTGCAGGCAAAGAGATAAGTTGGCTGGCCCCTAAGTCCCTCAGAAGAGCATCTGGCTGCCCTCTGTGCTGGAAGGTTGGATGGCTGTGTGCCTAAATCCAGTCTTTTGGCCAGCCCCTGGGCCACATGGGGGCCACTCTGCTTTTTAACAAGCAGATTTCCCTGAGACAAGGCTTGGCATGGCTGAGACTTCTGAGTGCCCATGACCAAATTCTATTTGGCCATTTTAGACTGATGTGTTGGGGAAACAACAAAATCGCAAGAGTGGCTTTGATTACCACCTTTCTTGTAGAACTTCCTCTCCAAGGAATTCCATTCAGGCCAACTTATTTTTTTTTGTACTTAGAAAGCATTCCTCCACCTGGCACTTTGAGATAATGGGCATACCTGGACAGCTTCATATTGCACGTGGATGTTATGAAAATTATGGAAGACAAATCAAGATTTCTACCAGCTCTCCAGCTATAAGACTGTGTGTCATCATACTGATGGTGCTTCGCCTCAAACTAATGGATGACTTCTCTCAGTGGTTTCGTGTAGATCAGGGGTGTCCAACCTTGGTAACGTTAAGCCTGGAGGACTTCAACTCCCAGAATTCCCCAGCCAGC